AATTATAATAAATCACAATTCTAGTAACATACTTTATAACATGAGGAAGCCTCACACTATGAGAGACGCCCTGACGAGCCTCGCCTGCCCTGCCTCACCACACTAACTCTGCGCCTCAACTAACTTCTGGGAACTTGGTCCGTTACGGCTAACACTCTGAGGTTATTCCTCCATTAAAACACTGCAATAAAGTAATTATTTTATGGATAAAAATACTGTTTCACATAAATATTCCTTCTCAAACAGAGAACAGTTGAATATATACAAACGCAATTGTTTGATTCTATATAGGACAACGTAATAGCGGGTAGCGTCAGGAAGTATGTTAAGATCCAGAGCCTTGCTTCACTTATAAGTAGTAATTAACTGGGACAGTTCTCCTGGTTTTAGCTATACACATCACGACCTGCGCCTCGGCGTTGGCAAAGGTAGTCGAAGGAGCAGTGAGAAGAACACTGCTGGAGAGGGCGCTGTAGGAGGGAGAAAGATAGGGCCAACAGTGGAACTCATCATGTGGGGTTGTTTGTGAGTATAGGAGGGTAGAACAAGTCCTCAGCGATGTTGCAATAAGAGGAAGTTTACAAGACTAAGATTACTTCAAGACCAGCCAATTCGGGGACTTGGCAGGAGAGGATCTAAGAAGGCAAAGCTGATAATCCGAGGCACCTCGGGCAGGAAGAGATATGTTAAGATATGTTGGAGTATGTTTTGATTAGCCCAACGTGTGGGCAAGGAAACCTAGCTGTGGGGGTTTGAGGTGAAGGGAGATGGATGGTAGGTAGAGGAGAAGTAGGGTACTTGGGGAGAAGGAGGGAGGTGTGGTAGAAAGAGGAGGTGGGAAGGTTGGGAGGAGGCTGGCAGCTACCTTGCCTTATGATAAAGATCGCTATCACAGGAGTTAGCGCGTCACCGAGCCCGCCAGCGGTCGGTTACACGTAGTCTGGCGGGCACATCTCACCCTCAACATCGCCAGGCTGCTCACATTGACCTCGCTTGTCCCTGACCTTATGAATGTTGCAGTGTATTTATGTATTTCTGTATGTATGTATATGCATACACACACACATACCTAAAAGTGCATGTACAGTATATAGTGTGGGCGCCCTGCCAGTACAGAGGTACTCCCGCCCTAGCGTCGTCCACACTGATGGTGGACCGCTACTTCCTCCCTGTGCGGCGGACCTCCCCAACCTACTGCGCCACACGCAGCCACTACAGCCACCCTCCAGGCAGGGTGAGGCGCTCGTGTGAGGGGCGGCCCGGGGCACACCTGGGGAGACTCAGGGGGCACCGCCACCACCCCATGAAACTAAGATAAACTTGAGGATAACTCTACGCTGGGGAGGCCAGAGGGAGAGAGTGCCGGGCCTGGTGGGGCAGGCGACGCTGGGGAACAGGGCTGTAAGGACAGTATGTGCTGCCCTCACAAGACCAAAAGATCAGGGAGATAGTGTGCCTTTGGCCCTACTACTACTGCCTGCTGTCTCCCAGTATATCTGGAACTACGCTATATGGAAGTTGGAATCTACTAGAATGGCCCTCTTCTGGATGACATTTAGCTATTTAATTCTCTACTTGTTGTGTGTTGGGCGCCTATGTTACTTAAGTGTAATTTCAGTATTACCTCGAGTGAGTGCAGAGTGTTGTAGGGGAGTAAGTCTCCGTACAAGCTCTTCGTCACCCCTGCTGTTCTACCACAAGTGAGGGACAACGTCTTCTTCCTCGTCTAACCATAATTAACAATCTTAAATATTTTTGAGAAGTAATTTTGTGATTATCATCTAGTGAGGTGAAGATGGGCACCTCATCCGCAAACAAAAAATCTTTACACTTTTAATTTACAAAACACATTGTTGTTAACGTGATCTTGACCGAAAATGTTCAAGGTTTTAAAATCCTTTCTCTGGAGCTTCACTAGGGTGGCGTCTGTGTGTCTGTACCTCGCTATACACCCTGAGGCAACATTTTGTTCATACAGGAGGCTACAAACTGAACAAACAGACTCTGTCAATGGGACAAAACTCCACGTCCTAACACATGTCAGCATCCAACCACTAGTTCACACCTCCCCAGCATCACCACACAGTAGGCAGCATTTGACAATTAGGGCGCGTTCACCACAACAACTCGCCAGTTAGTGAACAAAAGATATCAGCTGTGTGCTGCAGTCTTCCATTAAGATCATCCGATTATTCTGCTACATTGTTCACTGGTGTTCAACGCTGGGCTCTCGTTGTCCATTTTACTTAATATTCACAATAGGTTTTGCTGGAATCAGATTTTGATATTGACATTTAGAAGGAAGTCGGCAGAAGTTTAATAAATACTAAATATCTATTCGAGTTAAGATTTTGGGTTATAATTACACTCATTAACTCTTTGCCAGTGATAACACAACCACATTGATCAGATTGTCTTGGTAGGGAAATCTTCCTTGCAATTTCATTTTCTACTGATCATACTCGTAAGTTGAATATATCCACAAAAAGCCTAAGGATATGTTTCGAACTAGTGACAATTTGTTATTTTAAGAGTTTGCGCTCGTAAATAGTTTCGTTTTCTATGGATAAAAGACAAACAAGGCTACGAAAGCACCCAGAAATATCGCAGCCGAATTTCTCCCATATCTGCTGTAACGTGTGAGGCTGTTGGCCACCTGTAACACATCTCTGATAGACGCTGATGACCACTTAGGACACACGTCTCTGGCGATGACAAGACACTGGCACTCAAGTTGCATGCTCAGTGGCACCAGGTCTCGAGACGAGTGTATCCTTACAATACTTCTCCATGTGACGGGTGTGGGCGTCAAGGAGACCCAGGAGCCAGGGGCGGCTCCTCCTCTCCTAGACCTCCACCCCGCCGACACCTAAGAACTACATTTTTGGTTATTATAGGGAACTTGTCAGTGTATCATGACGACAACACAAGCACTCCGTAGCGGAGAATCTCGCTACATACAACACCATGTTTCACCAGAGGTGACATAAAACATGTTTCACCTCTGGAGTGGCACACTACACAGTGTTTCACCCTAGGACGACACACGACGCTGTTTCACGGCTAGGCAGGCACACAACGTAGTGTTTCGCCGCTAAGGTGGCATACAACACAAAGTTCATCTCTGAAGTAACACACAACACATGTTTCAGCCCTGGGGTGACACACAACACAGTGTTTCACTACTGTAGTGAGACACAATACAATGTTTCACCAATGGAATGATGCTCATCAGTGTTTCACCACTGGAGTGACACAGAACACGGGATTAAAACTGAAGTACGCACAACAGTGTTTCAACCCAGGAGTGACACACAATGCAGTACTTCACCCTGCAGGAGATGTTACACTTGAATTAAACTAGATATGCTCACACTCAGACACGTACACCAAAATGAAACTGAAGGCCAGAGAACTCTCAAGCCCTGACTTCTGAAACGTGACGTAAGTTCAGGCTGCCGTGGTGGGTGAGAGAAGCTTAGAGAGACTGACTCTACAGGCTAGGAAGCCGGGGGAAAGAGATGGAGATAAAGGAAGGGAGGGATGGGGATGGAGAGAGGAAAGAAGGGGAAGGGAAGAGAGGAAAAGAAAGGGAGAAGATAGAAAGAGGACATAAACAGAGGGAAAGGAGTGTTTTTTGTAAGGTGAAGCAGTACACCTATTGGCTGAGTAACCAAGAGTCACCTGCTCATCTGCTCTCCTGGTTTACGTCACACCTCAAGAAATCGAGCTTAAAAACCCAATATCCACACTGAGTTAGCACAGGCCAGAGAAGACACGAATACAGGATTCATATTACACTCTGAAGCCTAATTTACTCAAGTTTACATGATCACTAACCTAACCACAGACTCTGCCTAGCGTTTATTGGTTTCACTAACATAGATAATTGATGAAAGATTAAGTCAGACCCGGAGACGCAGTCATAAATCATGATGCACATGTATCACAGTTAGACAACGAACACTAAATACATTGAATCAATACTGTTCAAAATATCTTCGAAAAAATTAATAACACCAGCATGACACAATACATTATAAGGGGAGGTCGACCACTTTTTTGGGGTATGGAGGGAGGGATAGATGGAGGGAGGGAGGATGAGGCTTGGAGGGAGGGATAGATGGAGGGAGGGAGGGAGGATGAGGCTTGGAGGGAGGGATAGATGGAGGGAGGGAGGATGAGGCTTGGAGGGAGGGAAGGGTGGGAGGGGAGGGTCAACGGCACCCCAAAATGACGTAAATTGATGACGTCAGTGCCACGTCACAAGATGACACATCATGACACCCGTTTCCATATAAAAGTATAAACTGAGCGAATTGTCACGTCACAGAAAACGGAAAAGGCAACACCACAACGCAGTCTTAGTATCAACAACATCAAACATGGCAACTGAAAAGACCCCAGCGACTGTGTAAAGCTTGGAGGGAGGGAGGGAGACAAGGAGACAAAGAGGAAGAAAGGGAAGGATGGTAGGGAGGGAAATGAGGGAAGGGAGTGAAGGAGGGAAAGGAGGGGGGAGGGGGCAGAGAGGAGGGAGGGAGGGGCGGAATATGAAGTATTTCATTAGTGGACAGAACAGTTATCAGGGGAGGTGTTGTCAGAGGAAGGTGTTTGGTTGTCAGAGGAGGTGATGGTTGTCAGGGGAGGTTATGGGTGTCAAGGGGAGGTGTTGGTTGTCAGAGGAGGTGCTGGTTGTCAGGGGGAGGTGCTGGTGTCAGGGGAGGTGTTGGTTGTCAAAGGGAGGTGCTGGTTGTCAGGGGAGGTGCTGGTTGTCAGGGGAGGTGCTGGTTGTCAGGGGAGGTGTTGGTTGTCAAAGGAGGTGATGGTTGTCAGGGGGAGGTTATGGGTGTCAAGGGAGGTGTTGGTTGTCAGAGGGAGGTGCTGGTTGTCAGGGGAGGTGATGGGTGTCAAGGGAGGTGTTGGTTGTCAGAGGGAGGTGATGGTTGTCAGGGAAGTGTCAGGGGAGGTATTGGTTGCCAGAGGGAGGTTTTGGGGGAGGTGTTTGGTTGTCAGGGGAGGTGTTGGTTGTTAGGGGGAGGTGATGGTTGTCAGGGGGGAGGTGTTTGCTTGTCAAGGGGAAGGTGTTTGGTTGTCAGGGGTAGGTGGTTTGTTATTAGTGGGAGGGAGATCTCTGAGTTGGCGTTGGGGTGGGATGGCGCTGGGGTTTAAGGGGCAGTACAAAACGTGTGCACATCAACACATTGCCGCCTGACAGAGCGGAATGTAAAGGTCCTTCTGCTAGTTGCCAGTCAACTAAGGAACACCATGATGCATGGAGGAACAAAGTCACGTACACAGAACACAGGTGCGGGACACCGGAGTGTACGCATGAACACCAGAACATGGAGCACATTGTGGGTCACACGGCGAGGCAGCCGGGCACCTAGACGCCGCCGGCAGCGGTGGGGAGCACTGAGCTCTCCCGGGCGGCGCCGCCCTGCCGGTTCAGGAAGCGTAGTGGGAGTGACTAGTGAGGACCACCCTACTGCTGCTGCTGCGGGTACCCCCTGAAGCGGGACTCAGCCCGACCTCTGCTGCTACTGGACTAAGACGGAGCGCGGCGAGCGACTCAGGCGCAGCCACACTCGGTGACGATCATGTCGTCCCAGTAGGTGGTGGTGAGCGTACCCTGGTCGTTGAGGTGGAGGATGTGGAGCCCCTTGAGTGCTGTAGGGGCGCAGCATGGCCTCGGGATTCTCTTCTTGTGTTTCAATTTTAGAAGTGATTGGAGAAGCGCATGCTCGTTGGCCGGGTTAAAGCGAGGGGGGCACTTTCCACTGCAGTAGAAAGCATCAAAATTGTCGGGAGATTCGACGAAATCAAAGTCAGGGAGGTCTTTGAAGCGGACCTTCATGGAGCGTCGGCAGCAGCGGGAGCGGCGACGGCGGCCGTTGGGACTCATGTCACGACAGTCGCCGTGTCGCCGCCACTTGGCTTTAGTGGCGCGCGTCAATTCCGGGGAGCGTTTCACCCTCCGCCCCGCCGGCACCTGCGTCTGTACGTCCAGCGTGGGCACGTAGGTGGTGTTAGAGGTGTTAACGCCCGTGTGGATGGTGACGCCCGCGGCACCGCAGTCAGGGCACTGCACCAAGACACCCGCATCGTCCCGTGGCGTCTTCAGCCACTCCCGCACCGCCTCCGTCACGTTGACAGTGAGCCATTCATCGCCCGTCACCGACACGTTGAGTGCCTGCATCAAGACTACGTCCTGCTTACGGCGGCGACGGCGACGGCTGAGGTTGTTTATCTGGTAGAGGGTGACGGTGACGGTGTTGTGGGCCGGGTCCTGTGGTGCCGGCCCGCCGGTCTTCCACAAGCGACACGTTGCCTTCTTCACGTCGTTGTCGTGGTGGTAGACTCGTCGTATTGGCACCGCGACGTGGAAGTGTACCACCTGTCCCTCCACCCCCGTGCTCCGCCGGCCTCCTGCAACACAAACACCTCATTAGTATACAATACACACCCGTATTTGTCCTGCAACACAAACACCTCAACACCACACATCAACACACCTGTACTTGTCCTGCAACACAAACACCTCAACACCACACATCAACACACCTGTACTTGTCCTGCAACACAAACACCTCAACACCACACATCAACACACCTGTAATTGTCCTGCAACACAAACACCTCAACACAACACATCAACACACCTGTACTTGTCCTGCAACACAAACACCTCATTAGTATACAAGACACACCTGTACTTGTCCTGCAACACAAACACCTCATTAGTATACAAGACACACCTGTACTTGTCCTGCAACACAAACACCTCATTAGTATACAAGACACACCTGTAACACAAACACCTCAATACTGGAGCACCACAAAACACAAGTGCTTCTTAACAGGGTGAGGATCTGACCTGACCTGACCTGACATGCTACATATTCCTCAGATGACTAGAGGAGGGGTGAGAATATGCCTCTTATCTATAATGATTGTCTTGCACGGTGAAGGAGGTATTGTGAGAGTGAGTGAGTATTTCTCTTCATTCTCGTGGAGTCTTGGGAGCATAACACGTTTTTAACTCAAAGAACAAATTCAGTTTACATCTATTTAAACCATAGTCCTCAAAAGGTTAAATCATCATCCTTAAAGGTCATTAACGTTATGAGGGTCATGATACGATAGTGGTGATTGTGGTTGGTGAGTGGAATTGTGGATGATGGTGATGGTAATGGTGATTGTGGTTGGTGGTGATGTTAATGGTGGTTGTGATTATTGATGGTGAGAGTGGAATAATTATGGATAATGGTGATGATAATAGTGGTTGTAGCTAAGGGTAGTAGGGTGATGTTGAAGGTGGCTGTGGTGGTGGTGGTGGTGATATAGTGATGGTGGTCGACGGTAGTTATGGGTGGTAACGATACAGTTGGCTGCGTTGAGTGGGTGGTAGAGGCGTTAGTGGGTGTGGGTGGTGGTGGGCGGCTGTGGTGGTTTATGTCTCCGGGCGTGCCTGGGAGTGAGTCAGGGAGCTGGGTATACCTATTCTTGCTGCCACTTTTATCGTGGCGGACTGTGTCATCGGAAGCAGGGAGTCACTCACAGTGTGAATATGACTGGAGGGGCGTGCGTCAGTTTGTGAAGGGGGGGAGGAGATTCATTCATGGAAAAGATATGACTGGAGGGGTGTGTCAGTATTTGAGAGAGAGAGAGAGAGAGAGAGAGCTTTCTTTGTAATTTAACTTATTCATGATACAAAAATCGTTAATTAGGATTATTGGTATCTGAGAAGCCAATCACAACATTCAGTACAAGTTGCTGATGTTACCAAGTTTTGTCACTGGTGCAGAAGGCAGCTTATAAATAACATTAACACTCGCTATTATTCTGAATCCAATTACACCCCACTTAAGTTTATTAAATTGTGTTCGTTATAATAATACATTAATTCTCTTGAATGCATTTAAATTCTATAGTGTTGTTTTTAAGTCCGTTGGATCAAAGTAATTTAAACTGAACTTCGATAAATCTGTGTTTAGTTTATTTGGAGATATATTTTTATTGAGCATATCAGTATAAGAAGCGAGTTGCAGTTATAACTTCCATATTGTTAATTATTACTACATAAAGCTTTCTTGTGTTGACCAACTGACGTTGAAGGTTAGTCTCGGAACTAACCATAGAAAACTTCCTATGTTGGGTGTCTCTTTTATTTCATAATTTTTTGGTGAAGTTATTTCGATGTCCTCGTTTAAGACCTTAAGGTGAGACAAACGGAATCAGAGAATGTCGGAGTCCTTAAAGAGGATATTATTGAAAGGGCGAATAAGTATCTCAACAAGGGCTCAACCTCTCCCCACCAGCCCTCCTCCAGTCAACAGCTACTACATTACTCTTCCAAGCCTTTATAATAGTTCCAAGCGATGGAGTCTGTTCGCTGAGAAGGTACGTTGAAGCTAGAGAGTGTTAGTCATAGCTTCTCCCCGGGACACCTACCCTAACTTTATTTAAGTCTCTAGAGTATTATTTCTGGAGGTATTTGAGTTCGTGGTCAGGTGTAAATATTTAGGTGGTGTAACAGCTCCCAGGATATGACCTCTCCCCAGAACAGGTGGTTATTTATGAATGAAAGGCCCGCCTGAATCTCCTTGTTTCTCTTGCGCACAGCGGCCGTCCTCTGCTGGGGCTCTTGACGTCAAATTTGTTTACATTTTTTGACAGGAAGGGGAGAGAGGAGAGGGGGGGGGGGAGGTGGGAAGAAAGAGAAGTTGAGTGAGTCTGTATGAACAGGAGATTTTTCATCCTAACTGAAGGGTTAAGAAATGATTACAATGCGGATGTAAACTGTTTTCATTCACCTCTTGGCCACGAGTGAATTATTAAATCTCCAGAGAGTCAGTTCGGGAACTGATTTAAGTGTTCAAATGAGTGACCTACATACAGTATATGTAATTTTTGGATTTAAATATAAATGTTTGGTATTACTAGTAGATGTCTTAATCATTAGTTGATTACAATATTATCAAGTCTATTAATATTCTTACTAACATTATCATCATCACTGCAGTACAGTTGAGAAGCTGCGTATAATGACCTCATGCGACAAAATTCCTTTGTGATGAACGCCGATGGTCAAACGAGACATGTATTGTTTACCTTAGCACTATGGACGCTTGCTTGGTATGCGGCACCACGCGGCTCCCACCCAGTCATGAGCCTCGGGCGTGTTTACATTTCTGACGTCAATGCTCGCAGATGCCAACGTGGGTGAGCGATTAATTGTTTGCCTTCCTAAATGTCTTGTTTGTGTGTTTTTACCATATTTTCAAGTGAGGTTATCCAGTTTCCATCACACTGCATCGAGTGAGAAGAGGAGAATGTATTGCGTCGGCTCACAGGGCGCGAAGCTTCGATAGGAGGTGGGGAGAAGGAGGAGCTGGCACAGGGGGAGGGGGAGAAGGCAGAGTAGGGAGAAGAGAAAGCAGATGAGGAGGAGGAATCTTTGGCACCCTCGGGATACCAATTTAGGCGCCTAATTGCCCTCCCATAAGTTTCCCCCAAATGCCCCAACTTTGCTTTAATTGAAAAACTAACTACGGCGAAGACAGATAAAACATCACACACACACACACACACACACACACACACACACACACACACACACACACACACACACCTGACGTCAGAGGCTGGGTCACGGTCAGAGGTCACTGGGGGAGTGAGATGGGTCAAGACCTAAATGGAATAATCATAATAAGTTTTTATTATTGTTTGTTGGGAAAAAATGCTCATTGTGGTGGAGGTTATAACCGTGATTGTGTTGGTGGTTGTGGTTATAGTTGTGGTTGTGTTGGTGATTGTTTTGACGGTTGTGGTTATAATTGTGGCTGAGTTGGTGGTTGTGGTTGTTATAATTTAGGTTATTTTGGTGGTTGTAGTAACATTTGTGGTCGTATCGGGGGATGTAGCTGTTTGTCGTTACTGTAATGGTGTTGGCGGCTGTGGTTGTAATAAGGTAATTGTAGTTATTTTGATTGCACCGGTCGTTGTTGTTGTTCTGATGGGATTTTGGTTATTAAACTCATGACCACTGTGGCAGCATTCCATATGTCGGGATGTTTGTATCGCTATGTTATGGTTTTGAGAACGAAATTATAGATAATTTTTTCCAAGCATAATTTCCATTCTATTCCTGAATGAACTGTAGTGTGGTGGTGGTGTTGATAGTTATGGTGGTGGTGTTGATACTTATGGTGGTGGTGGTGTTGATAGTTATGGTGGTGGTGTTGGTGGTGGTGGTGTTGATGGTTATGGTGGTGGTGTTGATGGTTATGGTGGTGGTGTTGATGGTTATGGTGGTGGTGGTGTTGATAGTTATGGTGGTGGTGTTGATGGTTATGGTGGTGGTGTTGATAGTTATGGTGGTGGTGTTGATGGTTATGGTGGTGGTGTTAATGGTTATGGTGGTGTGGTGTTGATGGTTATATGGTGAAGACGGTGGTGGTGGTGGTGTTTGATGTGGTTATGGTGGTGGTGGTGGTGGTGTTGATGATTATAATTGGTGGTGGTGAGGTAGTGTTGATGGTTATGGTGGTGGTGGTGGTGGTGGTGGTGGTGTTAATGGTTATGGCGGTGGTAGTGGTGGTGGTGGTTGTGGTGGTGGTGTTAATGGTTATGGTGGTGGTGTTGATGGATTTATGGTGGTAGGTGGTGGTGGTGGTGGTGGTGTTGATGGTTATGGTGGTGGTGGTTGTGGTGGTGGTGTTGATGGTTATGGTGGTGGTGAGTGGTGGTGGTGGTGCTGATGGTTATGGTGGTGGTGGTTGTGGTGGTGGTGGTGGTGTTGATGGTTATGATGGTGGTGGTGTTGATGGTGGTTGTGTTGATGGTTGGTGGTGGTGGTGGTGTTGATGGTTATGGTGGTGGTGGTGATGTTGATGGTTATGGTGGTGGTGGTTGTGTTGATGGTTATTGGTGGTGGTGGTGTTGATGGTTATGGTGGTGATGGTGTGGTGTTGATGGTTTATGGTGGTGGTGGTGTTGATGGTTTATGGTGGTGATGGTGGTGTTGATGATGGTTATGGTGGTGGTGGTGGTGTTGATGGTTATGGTGGTGGTGGTGGTTTGATGGTTTGGTGGTGGTGGTGTTGATGAAATGGTGGTGGTGTTGATGGTTATGGTGGTGGTGGTGGTGGTGGTGTTGATGGTTATGGTTTTGGTAGTGGTGGTGTTGATGGTTATGGTGGTGGTAGTGGTGATGGTGGTGTTGATGGTTATGGTGGTGGTGCTGATGGTTAGTGGTGGTGTTGGTGTTGATGGTTATGGTGTTGGTGTTGATGGTTATGGTGGTGGTGGTGGTGTTGATCGTTATGGTGGTGGTGGTGGTGTTGATGGTTATTGGTGGTAATGGTTGTAGAGGTGGTGGTAGTGGTGGTGGTGGTAGTGGTGGTGGTTGTTGAGGTGGTGGTAGT